TCACCTGGGCTGAGTAATCCGCCCGTGTGTGTGTTTATTCGCTGTACCGCACAGCAAGCTTCAATTAATCTGAGTAAACACAGCCATGAATTATTCTCTTTGGAATGGATAATGGCAGAGGAGCCTCTTTCTTTCTTTCGTTCTTCATCTCCTTCCCTTCCTCAAATCCCCTTCTTTCTGAATATATTCTGAATATAACACTTTCTGTGGTAAATCACCCAACCATTGCATTCCCACTTTTATTCTTCTTCAACTTGCATAAGTGGGCCTTGTGGGTAATTTTAGCTTGCTGATTTTTCATTCTCTCTCTCTCTCTCTCTCTGATTCCTGTTGTCTTATGTAAGGAATGAGGTGCTAACAGCAAAGAGACTATCAAATGCAGATTGACCCACTTATTTCACCACAACAAATCCATACAGATAAACATAACACACATTCACATACTTATTATACAGAAGATTGACAGACGAAGATGGACCTCGGAATTTATGGTCTCTCACTCACACATGTACATTGAGGTTATATCTGTTTGAATTAGGTGTACAGGAAATGTGCATACATGCATTAAATGGAGAGCAGAGGGGCTCTTGAGATAAATGTTTCATAGGAACAGCAGTGTAAAAACACTTTCCCCCTCTCTCTGTACCATTATAGTGGTCTCTCACTCTCTCAACTCATCTCTGTGACTGTGGGAATCTTACAGCAACACTGTACAGTCAGACAGATTGGAATCTGATCTGAAAGTCAAGGGCTGTTGGAAGAGAAAAGGGCAAGGCAATTGCAATCTGAGTGATGGATGGATGGATGGATGGATGCCTGCTTTGTTAGCCCAATGTTGTAAATTGTGCTGCAATAAAACCAGACACAGTCAACGCTGTACGGTTGGAACACAGAACAGTATAGCATATATTACTATAGATGCTGACTGATGCTGATATAAATATAAAATTGAGTGTGTGTGTGTCTTAGTAGAATGAAGGCATATATAATTTGGATGTCTGTAGAGGACAGTGACTAGTAGGGGTGTAACGGTACACAGAAGTCACGGTTCGGTACGTATCTTGGTTTTGGGGTCACTGTTCGATACGAGTTTGGTACAACAGGAAAAAGCAATAAATCCCCAATGCAAGGTTTCTTTTCATTTATTTTGAACAGACAGTAGTGCAAATTACAGTTTGTTCCAACTATCTGCATTTAGTCCCCCATGAGGTAGTTGGTACAGTACATCCTCCTTTAGAGTATTAAGCAATAAGCAGTAAACAAAATGCACTCTTGCATAGTTTTTTTTTTTTTTGCATAGGCTGCTAAAAAACAAAGTATTTGATCATAATCGGCTACAAAACTGAAAAGCATCTCTTGTGTTATAAAAGTTCAAAATTTAAAAGAATAAAACATGTACAGAGATTAGTTTTCTTCGCGCACAGGAGTTCATTAACATGCTGTGACAATGGCGGATGCACAAAGTTCAATATTACGCTTTTTCAAGAAATATGAGCGTGAAAGAGCCTTCTTCACCTTTCCACGAGGAGACCACGAGTGAAGCGGCACCCGTGGCTTCCCATTTCCAGGACACGGATTCATCACTGGACTCTAGTGAAACTTCGACACAAATCGGCACAATGCCAAATGATTTCGCCGTAAATCAAGACATTGAAACCGTAACTCACAATTAAAATGAAACATTGTGCTTTCGTAAAATAAAGAAGAAAAAAAAAACGAACAGGATGCCGCTTTCAGCCATCCCGGTTTCATTTCCATGAAGTCACAATTTATCGAAACTCTGCGTATAGGGTACTAGCAAGCTCTTGCATGCCATCTGAACTCTTGTTTTGGGTTGGTGCATAGATCATCTCTTCTTCAGCTCTTTTTCCGGTTGAGGCGCTTAACAAACAGCGTTGCATTACCGTGCATGCCCCCTTCTGGATTGGAGTGTGGATCGCCTGTGACAGACTGTATTCGTCGTCTGACTGTATGCACCGAACCGCGACGTCCGTATCGTGATGGTCCGGGACAAATACATGTACCGTTACAACTGCTAGTGACTAGGCATCTCATTACAGATAACAAACAGCTGATAGTCCTCCTCCATCCCATGTCAGATATGCTTTTGTAAGAAGCAAAGAATAGAAGAGGGACAGAAGCAGTTGTCTTATACAGTACTATGTGTGGAGGAGAAGCTGTGCACAATTGACTGTATTGTCACTGTACTCATACTCCAGGAGAAATGTGTGCATTCAGAGGCTGTCTGTTGTCAGTGGTATCAGCTGGAGGGAGAGCTTTATGGTAATGACGGCAGCAGAGAAGGGTGTTTCCAGGTTCACTGCATTAGACTGCTGTCTCGCTCTTTTTCAATCCATTTCCCTCAGCTCCCGAAAGAGCAGGGCACTCACTTACACAGGTATACGTGCACACACATACAGTTTCCCAAGAAATGTCACATATTTCATTATTAACGAGCTCTGGATCATAAGCCGTCACAGGGCGTTTTCAAGGGAATGAAGCACTAATATAAAAACCTATTTAATCAACTGGTTTTCACAGGCAACAATCAAAATGTATTTTAGCCTCATTACAAGCCAGCAGCCTGTTTCATCTCAACTGACTTTTGATGCTACAGTAGAAACCAATATTGTGAAAACTACTCCAAATTATTAGTCAAACCTGAGCCATTGAAAAAGACAGTTGTGACACTCCCATATACATCTATTGGAATAGGAGAATGCGGAAGAGTGTCTCGGGGAAACTAGCGCTGAACCCCATTTTTTTGTCAGTGTCATCAAAGCACATCCGCTGCTAAGTTGATGAAATGACTGCATTTTATTTTTGTGTGGACGTTTTAATGGTCCTGGCGTACACCCAACACTGGACATTTTTGAATTTCCCTCTTATCTGACACACCCATCTGGGGTCTTGTAGTCTTTACTAACAAGCAGATGAGTTGAATCAGATGCGTTTGATTTGTGCAGACAGAGCTGGGGGTACTCCAGGATCTGATGTCATAAGCATTTCAATGCCGATATACACTGTGCAATGAACTAAAATAAGTTTCATCTTTCATTACTACTCCCAGTTCTTTCCAGCAGCAACAGGCATTATAATAGTAAAAATAATGAATTTCCACTCATCTGCCATTTTTTGGACAGCAGGTAGTAGTTTGATCCAGTGTTGTCTTCTTCAACCAGATTGGGCCTTTTGAACAAAAAGATTGCAATTCTGTTTGGTGCTGCTAGTGGCTTGGAAATTATACATTTCACCTTTAAGTTAGTAGCATCTCTAAATTTCATTAGCGACTCCCAACATGGACATAAACTTAAATGTTAAATGTGTGTTCTCTGGTGGTAGCAGGAGACGTGGGTGGATGATGTGTTGGCTTATTCTACATTCAGTTTTGGCAAAGGCCAGCTGTAAATAACACCATCCCTCCCACCCTGCCCCCTGTAGAATGTTTGAACAGGCCAAAGGATGGGCAGCGAGTGTATTTATAACGCAGTCGGCCCACAGGGGCAACACACACTGACACAACAGTCTCACTTACACCACAGATGCACCTGCTCAACTTTGTTTTGTCAGGTTATGTTGCAACTATGCCTGATTTGTCATGTGGCAGGGACAGGACGATCTCCCCACAGCAGTAGCAAACCGTTTTGGCTGTAATTCTAAAGGTTATATATCGCAAGTTCATATCTCAGCCACAGAACAGCACATTTGGCCTTGAAACATTGACAGTTGCAAGTAAAAACAGAAGGTTTATATCGCTCGCCAATCTTCTTGATGGATGAGCGACTGTCTGGCTGTGTTGTGTGTACTGAGTGTGTGCGTTTTTGACATCTCTAAAAGTGAGATTTACCCCAGTGTCCTACATCCTACCCTATAGCTGAGATTAAATTGACCATTGCTCAGTGAAATTTTGTGGCCGAAATCCAGTAATTCTAATAGGAATCTATGCTATATGGTGTTTGACGGGAGGGCAAAAATGAATCCCCACACAGATTTCGTTTGTGTTTAAGTTGGTCCCACGAATTCACCACATTGACCAACAGAAAGCTGAAAGTGACTTGTGTGAGCTGTGCTTTTATACATCTTACACTATTAACAATAGACAGTGAACGCCCTCAAAATTTCACTAAAATTTCTCTTATATGACCGCATATAAAGGCTTATGCAACCCTGAACTCCAAGTTACAGAAACTCGCAGAAGTACTTTCACTCGCAATCTTAAGTCGGCTGTTGTTAGTAACGTCCCTCGCGGTTCAGATGCAAAGGTGCTCCTAGATGAGAGACGTCATGGTAAATTAAACTCTGAAGCCACATTTCTGAGGTTTCATTTCTGGAAGTTCAAGACTATTCCTGAGTGGTGCCTGTTGCAAATGAAATGTTTGTACTGCAACACATGTCCAGAGGCACATGCTGTTAGAGTTTAGACACACTCTCGTTAGAAAGAATAACCATGGATGATTGCATACGAACACACACACACTGAGTGTGGAGACACAAACACACGTTGGAAAAAACAAGCTCCCAAAAATATCAGTCACATGTCCCCTGTAAATCCAGGCTTATCTGTTGTAGTGTCTGGGGTTTCTGGTTTCCAGAGGACATGTCCATGTCTCTGGGCTGTTTAAAAGGACGAATGAGGAGATGGAGGAAATGCTGTTGAGTGAAATATGGATTTATGGGTCACGAGTCATAATCTAAATCAAAATAATCTCTGCTCGATCATTAGGGTCAGCGAGTAATTTCTGGTTGCTGCTTAAGGGATTGCTGATAATGTTCCAATGTAGAGCATTTGTGGACGCTGATTCAATACAGTGGTGGATGCTATTAGTTAAGATTTGTGGAGAAGGAAATTACACCGTATTCAAAGTGAATTCATATTAGGGTATTTTACTAAAGTAAATGTTTCTGAACTTTTGATGTGTTTTTTTTTTTAAACCATTGTTGACTTATGAACAGTAGAAGGCTCTGTGCTTGTTTTTACCCAGTGTCCTCTGGTCTGACAGGAGGACTATGATCGCCTGCGACCCCTGTCCTACCCCATGACAGATGTCTTCCTCATTTGCTTCTCCGTGGTGAATCCGGCCAGCTTCCAGAACGTAAGAGAGGAGTGGGTCCCTGAGCTGCAGGAGTACGCGCCCAACGTCCCTTACCTGCTCATCGGCACTCAGGTTTACACACTTTGCTACACAAACGGCACAATATTATTCAGTATACTGCCTTCTTTTTGTAATTGTATGTGAAACGGTGCACAAATTTGTAACAAACCTTTTGGAACACTAGTTAGTATGCTACAGTGCTGCTATATTGGTGTCCTGTCAAGTTATCATCTTGACCCAAGTTTAAATCCTGTCTGACAAGCGTGCTTCCCAATAACACATCCCGCAATGAATACACATTCGTTCAGTAGGTGAAAAGTAGTCTTTAGTGGCTGTTTGAACGCATTCAACCACATGAGCGTTTACACTCCGAAAGCAATCCGGTTGAATGCGTTTTCGACCACCTCTGCAAGTGGTCGAAAGAGTATTTACCACCTGTATTTAGCGTCGTCCACTTCTGATCCGATCGACGAAAAAACGCATCTTAATACCAGATGGAAACAGGGCCTTGTGTAAAGCGATATACTATATAGAAAGTGCCTGATTTATTTATTTTTTGGTCGCAAATGTAATTATATTATCACCTGACTCTTTATATAAATTTATTTGGATATATGTCAAACTTTATCCGCATACATATAGTGCACTCGCTTACTATAGCAGGGCGATATATACTATATAGCATATCTAAACTGATTGATTGCTTGTATCATTGCAAAATGTAAACTATATTATCGCCCCGTTCTAATCTGCTAAATACAAAGGCATGAATATATTATAAACATTACCATCATGATTTTCTGTATTGTGAAAAGCGCTATATAAATCATTTTGACTTGACTTGCTATGGTATTAGGATGCACTGATAATTAAAATTCTATCTGATACCGATAAGCCTTCTTATTGGAATTCTTTATTCAAAAGTATTCGTCTAAATAAATGTATAATACAACACTAAAAACAAAAAATAATCATTTGAAATGCTACAAGTGAATTTCAGCATCACAAAACTATAATGTACAGTACTGTAAGAAATTGTAGTCTGCCTCGACCCAGATTGCACTCCAAAATATATTTTAGAATGAGCTCATCCCCAAAATGGCTTAATTAGCATAGAGATGAAGGAAGTTAAGTTATATTGTTTCTTCCATTTGGGTTGATCACATCCAGAGCAAATGGTCATCATCAATTGTAGAATGGGAATGGGTGTGGGTCTGTGGGACACTGAGAACCTTCTCCAATAATGGGGTGTCTCAACTTCATTAACATACAGACCACAGCTGTTACAAGTTACAACAGGAGCAACTTCATTTACATTAAGAGTGGTAAACTGTAACAGGATAAAAGGTTTGAGATTTGGATGTTCTGGGTTGATTCTGACGCCGGTGAACACAAGGTGCTTCGTGTACCTTGTCACTGCTATGCTGTAATAAACTTCATTTTTGAGATCTTCGACATCCACGTCATTTTTTCTTACAGAGCACAGTGTTAAATTCCCGTCTTAATCAGACCACAGAAGTGAGATGAATACAGAATACAGCGCAATCGATACGAACGGGGGCCAGAGAGAGTCATGGGAACAAGGACCCTGAACCAGGGCTACATGAGTAATTGAAATAAATCTGAAATCGCAATATAATTTAGTGAGCTGTATCAAATCACAAAGGCTGTGATTTGATTAAACTAATATATGCGCTGCATGTTTTTCAGAGTGACATGGGTAGCTCATTATGCAACACGCACCAACAGTATTCTCATAATAAAGGGAAGCTTTAAGAGTTTTCTGACAAAATAGTTTAATGTTTGAAAATTAAGACTGCCATAAATATTAGTATTGCAATTTTAGTTATAATTTAAAATTTAATTATTATATTGTTCTTAAAGGTGCATTGCGCAACATTTCATGTTAAAAATACCCTTTTTTCTAACCCATACATGCTTAAACAATTGCCTGATGGGCTGAATGAGCCCTTCTCTGATCACTGCTATTGCCTCTATAATCCTGTACAGTAAAATAAATAAGAGGGATTTGGGCCGGAACGTGAGACTGGGCGTGACGTCATGCGCGTTCACGCTCCCCTGGCTATGTCTGTCAGGTTTGTGTATTCGCCGCCATTCTCCGTATTAGCGAAGACAACTTGAGCGACAAAACTTCAGTCAACTTTCGACAAAAGTAGAAGATGGATTCAAAGAGACCGGCTTGTAGTTCATAAACCCCAACGCAAACTCCACGCAAGACAAAGACAGTAAGGCAGTTTCGCTTGTCGCCAGAGGGGGGCATAGTTCTGCAAAAACTCGGAGAGGTGAACAATGCACCTTTAAATACTCTATTTTTTTGTGAAATGTTGATTTAATATTTCTTATTTTAAAGGTTCTCTAAGCGATCCTGGGTGACGTCACTTCTTGTTGACGTTCGAACTATTGTCAAACAAAACGGAGGCTAGCTAGACCCTCCCCCCTCCTCATCTGCACACTAACCCCCCAAACCCTTCTTGTCGGTCATTGGCTGGAACAGTTTGTTATGTTTCGTGGAGCGGGTCGCCGCAGTTTGTTTTTGTTGCTGTTTGTGGAACCTGGGCTGTCTACAGAGATCGCGTTTCTTTACAGTGTGTTCAGGGGACAGGCAGCCAGCGGTTAGTGAGGAGATGTTTGCTGTATGTGACAAAAAATGTTTTGGCCTAAAAAACGCGTGACATCGCTTAGAGCACCTTTAAGTATTCTATATATATATATATTTGGTTCTCCTACTACTAATACTACTACTAATAATAATAATTAGGGGCCAAGCACCGAAGGTGCGGAGGCACCTATTGTAATCGCTAGCGTTCTTATTCTTCTTCATCTTCCGACTGGGCGTCTATGGCAGCCCATAGAACCGTTTGCGGGAAAGTTGTTTTGGTTTGACATTCTGATAGAGGACAGTCCCAACATTAAATACACCAATTTTGGTGTCTCTAACTCATTCCCTCTAGCGCCACCACCTGTCCAAAGTTTCACTTATATTATGCTAATAACTTTTGAACCGTAAGGCCTATCAACAAAATTCATGACGATTCGATCGCACCCTATGAAGTAATTTTCCGTCATAAAAATATGTCCGCCATTTTGAATTGTCCAAAAAACCTACTTTTGCAAACTCGTCCTAGACGGTTTGTCGGATTTTCACCAAAATTGCACCAGATCATCTCCAGGCAGTGCTGACAAAAAGTTATGGAATTCAAGTCGATTCACTTAACCGTTTTCGATAAACGCAAAAACTAATTTTACGTAGCGCTTGCGAAAACAGACGTAAGGCTGTATCTCAGCAACGCTTAATCGTATTCAGACCAAACTTGGCACATATCATCACAAGCATGACCTGAGGCTACATGCTGCGTTTCGGTGCAGCGCCACCTACTGGTCCTGAGATATGAAAAATGACTATTTTTGCTCATAACTTCTGAACAGTTTGTCCAAAAATCACAAAAGTGGTCTCGTTAGATTCAGGGCGTCATGCCGAGTTGACTGATATAAACTTTTCCCAGATCGGCCATTTTGGCTATCGGACATTTTTAATTGTGCTAAAATGATGTATTTTTTGAACGCATGAACGAATTGTTACAAAACTCGGTATGGGTCATCAGTACGATGCCCTGAAGGAGCCTGAGAAGTTTCGAAACAGCGCCACCTAGTGGTAAAATTTATTTTTCAAATGCTTGTAACTCTGGGTGTGGTTGACATATTTTCACGGGAGTCATCTCGCTGGGATCCTGAATCCTTGGCGAGTCCAAAGATACCAAATATGCTTAGGTTTTTTTTATGGTTTGGGTAGCGTTGTATAGGGATGGGACGGTATGAAAATTTCATATCACGATTATAGTGACCAAAGTTATCACGATTATCAATATTATCACGGTTTTGTTAAAATGAGATGGAAATGTTCAAAAAGAACTGATGCTCACCCTGAAAACATTTGAAAATCAACAAACAAAAAATACAATTAGCAGGCTAGCAGCTATATGCACTTTTTTAAGCATAAACATTATATTAACACATTAACATGGAGCCCTGAGAGTGAGAGGTATAAGTTTTCCTAGTGCAGGTTTTAATGAACCCGTCATTAAACCCTATCATTAATAATGATAATAACACTTATGGATGTGTGTATGACTGAATATTATTATTATTAATAAATAATAAATCGCTTTCTCTCTCACACACACACACACACTCACGCACGCACGCACACACACTTTAAATGAACAAAATATGTTGGTTAGGTCAGGGTGACTAAACTACTGGAATACTTATAATGACTGTTGTAAATAGCAACGCACTACACAGCGCACATCCATGTCTCGGATCACCGTGGACGCAATCTCTGGTTTCATTCAAATGTGTATGTCTTGCGTCTCAGTTTTGATTGTATTGAACATTAAATCAGAGTAATTTAGTATTAATACTACTACAATATTGTTGTAGTGATCACATTTACTTTACGATTGATTTGGACACTGTAACTTGTATAATGGATTTATAAACCGGCAAGATTTAAAAACATTAAGTTAATCACAATTCAATATTTCATGTCCCTGAAATTATTTCTGTGGGCAAAAATAAAAAATAAAACTGTAATAAGTTTGCTATGAATGAATACAATACATTATCCCTTAAATGTCACCCTTAATAGTTTGAATATGTTCGTTCGTCTTGGCTCAAATCCACTTGCTGTAAAACTTTTCTCTTCGCGGAAGCTTTGGAATAATTACAAGTGAGATAATGAAATAATTCATCTCCAATACATTTTTTGTCTAATTATTTGCCCAAGTTAGTTGTGCTATTAAGGTAAAAAATAACTCAGTGGGTGGTTGTCACGTAACGTTAGATGACTTAGCAGATTTGACGTGTTTCCCCCTTTTGCAGCGACTTTCCTCTTGCAAGATTTGCAGACAGGCTGCCCATCCTCGATTAAATTGCCCTCGGGACTCTTGTAATAGCCAAAATACGACCATACCTCCGATTTTGTCCTCTTGGATGGCTGAAAAATCTCCCGTGCGCTGTCACTGCCTTCCGCCATGTCTTCTCGCGCAAAAAAACAACATTGCATCTGCGCGCCTGCTCGCGTCGCGCCTGCGTCAGACTGATTCTGGCTGGACAGGATTTACCGCGAGTTTTCAAAATCACGATAATCAAACACGGTTTTTATGATAATTAAATTTTAAACGATAATACTAACCGCCAGGCCATTTTATCGTGGTTTATCGTGAAACCGGTAATCGTCCCATCCCTAGCGTTGTAATTTAGCGCTTAAAAAACATTTACGGATATCTTCGAAACCGCTAGTCCGATCAAGACGAAACCACCGTCAGAAGTACGGAAACATAGGTCGCTGGCTATACACTAATGCCCAAATGCCAAAATATTGATAGTAAGGGGTAGTAAAATTCAATCAAAGTCACGTATCAGTCATTTTTTACGTGTTTTTTCATATTTATGTCTATAACTCCGAAGTGAATTGAGATATTTTCACCAAATTTGGCACACACATGTATGGGGTCATTCTGAGGACACATGAAAAAAATTGTGGGATTTTGCCTCTTGGTGGCGCTATAATAGAAAAAAACCATGAAATTCCCATTGACTTCAATACAGTTTTGTGATGTAAGATGCTATACTTAACGAATGCATTGCTGTAACATTATGAAACTCAGAATTTGCAACCAGCACCATCCCCTGAAGGTACTCAAAAGATTGAGACAGCGCCACCTGTTGGTCAAAAGTTAAAATTAAATTTCCAAAAACTTTTGAAAAAATATGCCTATTGTAATGACACTGGTCTTAATAGATTCCTTGGGTCATGCCGAGAACATAGATACCAAGTTTGACGTATTTGGACGAACTTCCTGTCCGCCATCTTTATTTACTTTCAAAACCTTTTTTTTCGAACTTCTCCTAGACCATTCGTCCGATTTTCACCAAAATCGAATCATATCATCTCCAGACCATGCCGACTAAAAGTTATGGATTTCGTGACGATAGACGAAACCGTTTTCGTATACCGCAGCAGCAAAGTTGAGGCATGCTGCCAAAATGACTTAAGTTTTTATCTCTGCAATGCCTTGACATTTTGACACCAAACTTTATATGTGTCATTGTCACCTCACTCTGACCACATCACATCGATTTCGTAACTGCGCCGTTTTGTAACTTTCAACCGTATTGGTCGAAAGTGAAAATCCATTAAATCATCTTAAAAGTTACTGTATATTTGATTTTTTAGCCATTTGCCCCAAATTCTCTTAAAATGTCTTTAATTGCTCCTTGCTGCAATTGGTCTGCCACTCCAACCCATGAGGGCATCTGTTGCCGCTTCTTGCGCTTGGCCCCGGTAATGGCTGCTTGCAGCTATATTTATTATTATAATTATCTAGCCATATTGATCCAAAAAATTGCAATTACATTTTTTATCTCCTATATCCATACAAAGCCTTACTTCTGCTGATAACCAGCCCATGTACATTGACATATTTACATTTGTGTTCCATGTGTCTAATTGGAAGATGTGAAGGAAGTACAACGCTGTGTAGTGGTTTTGCTAATACCTCAGTGTATGTATGGAGAGCAGTTTTTTTGTGGAGAGTAGCAGGCAAAAACTCAAACTTAGATGAAGTGGAATTTTAATTAGAAACAGGGAAGGCGGAGACCCTCCTACACAACTCCGGTGGTACTTTTTAAGTGAAAGGGGAAGTCTGTAGACGCATGCCACCATCTGGTCTTGGGTTGAATTTCCTGGAGCCTTCTGCTCTAAAAACAATCTCATTCACCGTCCTTATACAGTTAACCCCTCATGTTGGGCCTGCTTAACTGTAACTTTCTCTCTCTCCGTCTACTTTTTTGGCTGTAGATTGACCTACGGGATGACCCCAAAACTATTTCCAAGCTGAACGATGTGAAGGAGAAGCCCATTGTGACAGAACAGGGCCAGAAGCTAGCAAAGGAGGTGAGGGGGAAAAAGGATACTTCCTATTTCTCAAGTTTAAAATAAAACTGAAACTTTGTATCGAGAGAAAACTCTGACATGGGTCAAAGGGAAAGTGAAAAGAACAGCACATTGTCGTGATCTGAACGGTGAATGTCGAAAATGATGTCTTAATTTTCTATGCATTTCCAGATTGGTGCCTGCTGTTATGTTGAATGCTCAGCACTGACGCAGAAAGGTCTGAAAACTGTGTTCGACGAGGCCATTATAGCCATTCTGGCTCCTAAGAAAGGCGCGCTCAAGCGAAGACTGGGCCCACGCTGCATCAACTGCTGCCTCATCACATGATACACCAGCTCAGGGGCGTCCAGGTGGAAGAACGCAAGGACTGATGGTGACCAATTGACAACCATCCAGATTACAATCTGACTTCTGAACTAAAGGAACGAGAACCAATGGACGCTGTGAAATACGAACGATGGTGCTGTACAGTCCAAGTTATGGGCAAATGACAAAAAGACACATTCTTCAGGGAGAAATGACACAAGAACACTAATCTTTGAGATGGAATACAAGGAAAACAACGAAATGATTTGCTGAACGTACAAGCACAGAGAATAGACAATGAAAGAAATGTAAAGATGTCTGAGACACCCTTTTTAATGGCTAAGAACAATCGAACTGTATTTCCGTGTCTGGCTCAGCGAGCACGAGTACGAAACTCAGACAAGCCTAAACAGCACAACCAAACCCTTCGGTCATTTACAGAAGTAAAACTTTATTTAACTTCAAAAAGGGAAACTCAGCATCTCAATTTAGTTAGCAAAACCATTGCTTTTTACAAAATGTCTCAAGACAGAACTGGCTTTATTTACAAGGAAGAGAGGAATTCTCAAATTAATATACTGCCATTATGAGCATACAACAAATTAAATATCTATTCTGCAAAAAAAAAAAAAAAAAAAAAAAAAAAAAAAAAATTGAATTTGTATTGTTGTAAATGTGACCAGAGTCATTTTTCTTTGATTTGGAGCACGCACTGGGATGGACAGTCGTTTTTGACTCGAGCCTGGATCTTTTTCTCTGTCAAGTTTCTGGTGGCCTGTGAGTGTGTCCTTTGTTTCCTCACTTAAGCTTGTAGGTGAGCTGTTTGCGATGCCAGTAGATCCAGACAGGGGCAGCGACAAGGCCAGTCAGAAATCCAGTAGTTGCCCCGAGGGTACAGGAAATGGGCCAAACCTGCACAGAGGAGCCACAAAAACGAAGAGATCAAAACTGTCATATTGCAGGAGCACAAGTGACTGACTGCAAATTCTACAGATTCACTGTGGTGTTTTACCAACCAAATTTTTGTATTTGAGACTGCTTTCTTCCTCTTTCTTTTTTTAACAGAGTTTTGAGCGTTACATGTTGGTGGCCTTGCCTCTCAGGTCTTGTGCCGACTGCTTCGCATTTTGAATTTTTGCTTCATATGATCAAGGTGATCTTCTTTTTAATGAATTTCCTGCAGTCCATGCTAATATGTGGAGTGGTCTGAGTGGTCTTTAAAGCTTCCAGCACATTGTGAGCAACAAAGAAAAAGCCTTTATAAACGGTAGATATATGGAATGCAAATCTAAAAATCAAAAGGCACAATGGTTTTATGAGTGCACCTAATTCAAGATTAAAAACTTGCTGTTGATGCCAAATGTGCAGTGGATATACAAAATGTAAATTTAATGACTTGCCGCAAAATGCTTACTGACTATAAAAACAAATTGTTTCTAATATTTTGTCTTTTGTTTTTAGTCTTGTTGCTTCTTCATATATATTTGAATACCTTATTTCAGTCTTGCACATAAACATTTTAAAATATGCAATTCTTTTTCTGTTATATTAACTTGAAGAAAAATAATACTGTTATACTAATTAAGTGACATAAAATATTTTAACAGAACTATATACACTACCATTAAAAAGTGTGAGGTCAATAAGGTTTTTAATGTTTTTGAAAAGTCTCTTATGCTCACCAAGGCTGAATTTATTTAATCAAAAATATGGTAAAACAGTAATATTGTGAAATATTATTACTATTTAAAATAACTTGTTTCTATTTTTTATTATATTTTAAAATGTAATTCATTCCTGTATTACAAAGCTGAATTTTCAGCATCATTACTCCAGCCTTCAGTGTCACATGATCCTTCAGAAATCATTCTAATATGATGATTTGGAGCTCAAGGAACATTTCTAATTGTTGTCAGTGTTGACAACAGCTGTGCTGCTTTTTTTGTGGGAAACCACAAATATTTTTGTGATTCTTTATGTATAGAAAGTTCAAAAGAATAGCATTTATATGAAATAGAACTTACTTGTCGATTTTACTTTTACTTTTTAAATAGAAGCATTAATTTCCCCAATTGACCATGAAACTTTTGAACAGTGTATACTAAACGCACACGTTTGTTTCACTATATTAGTGAGGACACTGCATAGATGTCCACCGATTTTATATCAGGCTAATATTCTCTATCGCCTAACCCAACTGCTACCCTAAACCTACCCTATCACAGAAACATACGCAAAACACTACATTTAAATAGAAACATGTTTTGGCAGATTTATACGCCTTTTTAACTAGTAAGGACCAATAAAATGTCCTCGCCAGTCAGTTGTCAAAAAATGTAACTATATAATTAAGAACATTTGGCCCTCACAAGTATAGCCAAATATGTACACACAACACACATATTATATGAAAAATAGCAACAAAATATTTGATAAACACTATCCATCCTTTTCTTGTCCTCCTCTGTCTTTTTACAGAGAGTGAGATTTCTTCCCTTCATACATGGTCCCTTCATAAATGACTGAAGATATGAAGAGTGGTTCAGAATTATAAAAATGTCAGCAAGATTGATTATTCAATTATCTCAAGACTATGATGATATGGGTTGCAATATATAGTGTCATGGCAATGAGAAGGAGCGAGTCTGTGCGAAAAGCATCTGCATTCAACCACCCCAGAGTTTCTCATTAGCTCACAATCCCATCATCATGTCTTTAGGAATCATCAGTGAGTCTACGGCTACGCCAACCTCACTCCCCTCCCTACAGCTTCCTCACTCCCATAATGAGTCAGTCTCATCTCTCTGGCCTCGTCTAGACATCTGTGTGTATAGAGCGTGTCAGAAAGCACACATGGGAGACTTCAGCGTGACATTTTGAGGGCAAAACGAGGGCAAACACTGGCCTCTGATCAATGTCTGTACAACACATGAATAATTGAAGTACCAGCACAGTCCTTCTATGGTTTGAGAACATTAAATTTTTTCATGAAGATTGGTTCATTCCCAACAAAACGACTCGGTTACTAACGTAACCTCGGTTCCCTGAGAGGAGGGAACGAGTATTGCGTAAGTAGCTTACGCTATGGGAAAACTCCTTTTCTCGAGAAATATTGAAGTCTTTATGTAAAACGCATTGCAGCTGCACAGCATACAGCAATGAGCGAGGCAGCTCGGTCATTGGCTGTGCTGCGGCAACTGCACAAACCTATGACGGGGCGACTCTGAACCCGCTTCCAATGAGCGTGCTTCGAGCCCGCCAAGATGGGCGAGGCCAAGGGCTATATATTGGGCGCCCCTTCGTCTGAGTTCAAGCACAAGCACGGCAGCTTACGCAATACTCGTTCCCTCCTCTGATAAACCTGATAAATGTTGACGGCGAGGCCCACCCTGCTGCCACACAAATATCTTGAATGGGTATCCCACTCGACCACGCCCACGAGGAGGCCATGCCTCACGTAGAGTGAGCTCTGATGCCCAAGGGGCTCTGAAGGCCCTTGGCTTCATAAGCCAGCGCTATAGCATCAACTATCCAGCGCGATATTCTCTGCTTTGAAACAGCGAGACCTTTGGTGCGGCCGCCAAAGCATACGAACAATTGCTCTGTCTGTCTGAACTGGGCAGAACGTTCCAAATATACTCTGAGCGCCCTGACCGGGCAGAGTAAATTAGCGTCGCTTTCGTCTGCTGGAGACGATAGTGCGGCCAAAGATATCACCTGTGCTCTGAAGGGTGTAGAGAGCACCTTAGGAATATGCCCGTGCTTTCGCCTGAGGACAACTCTGCTGCCGTTAGGTCCAAACTCCAGGCAGGCAGCGCTTGATGACAGCGTGTGCAGGTCGCCCACTCTCTTGACCGAGGCGAGAGCCAGCAAGAGAGCAGCTTTGAGCGAGAGCTGTTTAAGGTGCACAGTTCGGAGGGGTTTGAACGGGGCACTTTTGAGTGTGTCCAGCACCGTGGCCAGGTCCCAGATCAGCCCTGAGGGGGGGCGTGGGGGATTTATCCTCCTGGCGCCCCTCAGGAAACGAACAACTAGGTAGTTTTTCCCTAGTGTGCGTCCTTCTACAGGGTCGTGTGATGCCGCTATGGCAGCCACATATACTTTGAGCGTGGAGGGGGTGCGACCTGCCTCCAACAGCTCTTGTAAGAAAACGAGCACACTCGGTACTTCGCATGTCTCAGGGTTCAGGTTCCTGGATTTACACCAGTCACTGAACACCTTCCATTTCTGGGCATATAAGCGCCTCGTAGAGGGCGCTCGGGCCTCAGTGATGGTTCTCAACACTCCACTGGGGAGGTTCCCGGGAACCCGTTGAGGGGCCATGCATGGAGGGCCCACAGATCGGGGCGGGGATGGAGGATCATCCCGTTGGCCTGCCTGAGGAGGTCCAGCCTCAGCGGAATCGGCCATGGGGCAGATTGCATCATCTGCATCAGTTCTGGAAACCACGTCTGGTTCTTCCAGAGTGGGGCTACCAGGAGCACTACACATTTCTCCTCCCTGATCCGACTGATGACCTGAGGTAGCATCGCGACCGGAGGGAAGGCATACAGCGGGCGGCTCGGCCAGATTTGGGCGAGCGCGTCTGTGCTCTTTGAAAAGAAGAGAGGGCAGTGCGCATTTTCCTTGGAGGCAAAGAGGTCGACCTCTGCTCTGCCAAAGGTTTGCCATAACCACTGAATCGTCAGGGGGTGGAGAGACCATTCTCCTGGGAGAACTTTGTCTCTGGACAGCATGTCCGCTCCCTGGTTCAGAACACCTGGCACATGCGCTGCTCTCAGCGAGCGCAGGTTGCGCTGGGACCATCGGAGGAGCTCCCTGGCCATCGAGTGCAGGGAGCTCGATCTGAGTCCACCCTGACGATTTATATACGAGACTACCGTCATGTTGTCCGTTCGGACTAGGACGTGCTCGTCCTTCAGGTACGGAAGCAGGGCTCTGAGAGCCAAAGCGACCGCTTTCAATTCCAGACAGTTTATATGTAGGCGCTTCTCCGGGTTTGACCACAAACCGGAGACAGGCCTGCCCTCGTAAAGGGCCCCCCAACCTATTTTGGAGGCATCTGTCGTGATCATTTTTCTCCTTGTGTTCACGCCCAAACTCACACCGGACTGATACCAGTCGACAGCTTTCCAGGGCGTCAGGGCTTTTATGCAGCCGTGATTTGCTCTGATTAAAAAGTGGCCCGAGCGCCACGCGTGAGTGGGGACACGGCTTTTGAGTCAGCGCTGGAGAGGACGCATGTGCAACAATCCTAGCTGGAGTACAGCTGATGCCGAGGCCATGAGACCGAGCATCCTTTGAAATCGCTTGACGGGGGCGCGCGCGCGCGCTCTGAACGATGTTGCAAGGCGCCGGATAGTGAGCGCGCGCTCTGATGAGAGGCGCGCCGTCATCTGCACTGAGTCTAGCATTATTCCCAGAAAAGAAATATTCTGGCTGGGGGATAGCATGCTCTTTGCAAAATTGATTCTTAGACCCAGGCATTCTAGATGACTGATAATCCAAGACCTGTGTGTCACTAACTGGCTCTCTGATTGTGCTAGGACTAGCCAATCATCGAGATAATTCAGTATTCGCACTCCCCGCTGCCTCAGGGAGGAAAGT